TTTAAAATTATCTATGTATCATCAGATCGTAAGTCGCTATGTTTCCACTAGAAAATTGCTGTTTCAATATCCGAGATATATACAGAGCCGTGTGTGTATAATAACTAACAAGAGAGGAAGCACGTTCAGTTTCCTGTAATAGCGTGATGCGAGAACTCGACAGAATCAGACAGGATAATGGAATCAATGCTCCTGACGTATCCGGAATTGCAAGGATCTGTCTCCGGCTGGCAGATATCCGCGGAAATGACGCTGTTGCCTAATTAATAAAATAAATCATCCTCCGGTGCATCGACCCCGTCGCTGCATCAAACCGTTTGACTGACAGTGTTCCACCTCCGCCGTCGGCTAATTGTCAAATTACAAAGATCGAGAATATCTAATGGACGTGGAACATGGGACGCAGTTCGTCGCCGATTTTGAAACGACTGCCTCGCCACCCCACCATCTCGTCTCGATCGCCACAGCGCAGATGCGCAACGCGCCCCCACTACTGACCACGGCCAGCAACCCCTACCCTTTTTACACCTGCAACCCTTCCGTCGGTTTCCAAGTTACGTCATTCGACTTCGGGACTCCGGCGGTCGTGGTCCAACGCTTCCGCTTCCGGTTCTCCCAGTCACGAGGCACACCAACCAGCTGGATCTTGGCAAAACTGCTTCCGTCTTCCACTGTAAGGAATTTGTGATACCTACCGAGCAACAAGTTTTATCATTTAGCTTTTGTTAGATTGTTCGCAGAATTACCTGCTTTGTAGTAGTTTAATCCTTGTTTTTATACCTTTTCATTTTGTAGACTTAGTTTCCAATTTTTTTTTATAACTTGCATTCTTGTTACTTTGGTTTCTTGTGCTCTGTAAATTATTACAGATTTAATTTTTGTCTCGTTGCCCTTGATAGTTTCTATATGCAATGCTTTAGATATAGCTGTTCGCATAGGATTGTGCTAGATGTGATTGTAGTCGTAGCTGAATAAGTAAGTTGTGATTTGAATCGATCTTACAGTGTTTTAAATTAATAATATATACGCGCCATCCAATTTGAAATGGCAACACGGTCGGTAAAGAAGAATTCTTACGAAGTATTCGAATCTTAATTTCTCATCACGTTTTGTATTTTATTCGAACATTCCATTTTGACTTTAGATTTCATTAATTCATTAATTAATATCTATTAAAATAAACGATTGAAAAGATAGCGTCGATTAAGATCTTTTTAAATCACTGTACTTTTCATGAGAACATGATTGAGAAAAGAAGGAAAAGTTATCAATTGTGACCGCTATAACAACATGTGTTCGATATCCTGCGCGTAATAAAATTATGATCTGATAGCCTTGCTGGCCCATTCATCTCAATCATGTTTCCGGGAAGATTGACGAGCGAGCAAGGTATCTTCGATATCTTCCACGCTTTCGCGATTCTTTCGAGTTTCACATGAAATCTCTATTAAGATAGAATTACCTTTGTACTACTATTAATATTGTTAACAATATGACAACGTAATTTCAAGTGTCTTTTTACATTTGAATGAAAATTTAGTTAGAAAATTTCAAATAATCTTTTCCATCTGTTGCAGAGTGCAACGAAGAAGAAGTGGATTGTTCTTCGGAAGTTCATCCAGTAAATGCTCTTTATGCTTTTGATTGTTGCTCAGAAAGCCTTGATTATGATATTGGCTTTCGGGCAATAATCATAATCACGAAAGGGCAGAACCTCAACTCTGCCTGTTGCCGATGGCACCTGTTACTTCAAGAAAGTTACTTCAGCACAGCTTCAGACACTATTTCTTCTCGACGACAAATTATAGGATTAAAGAAGGAATATTTCTTCCCCTGAAACATACAAATTAAGAACATTATTAGTGATGTGCAGATATTTCTGTTGAAAAAGATCTTTTTATTTTATATTCCAATATAAAGCAGCACGTAAAAGAATTCTAACTGATGGTATAATAATACAATGACACTGAAAATAAGAATAATTACACAATTATTATAGTTAAAACTTTGGAATATAAAACGAAAAATCTATCTGGTTTGAAACAATATTATCATTACATTATTATTATCGTATTACAAGTTACATTTTACAACAATTTATCTAGCTATGAATCTAATAATATGTTAATTTTTTTTTTTTTTTGTATAAATTCCCCTATCATCAATACAGATTATATAACTCTATAAAAACGTTCTTCTAGAAATATTATATAATACCGTTTCAGAAACTTATTGAATACCAGATTGATTGAGAAAGATCAACGAAAGGAATCGTTTTCAATCCCTGCGGGTATTTATGTAGAAAATAAATTGGTGCTGTAGACTTACGCTCAAATAAAAATAACGAAAAGGAAAGACCGTCTTTCATACTGCAGTTTATTCAATTTCATCCGCGATACTCTCGACCAATCTTCATCCACTCTGAAACGGATTAAATTATTCCTTTGAAATTATAATTCTACACTTGACTCGTGAAATCGCCGACTAATTGTTACTTGAACGATCAATCGACCGATGCTTACAATTAATTGTACTGTCACTGATATGTATCGTACACTCGATAATAAACGATCGTTTTGTATGATATATTTGCCTATCTAATCTGTTTCGAATTTTGTTCATTCATCATGCACTTTATATTTCATATAAATAATATTGCGTATGACTGTTAACATTACTTTATATCATTTTTTATTATAAGTTATTATAGTCGTTTCATTTATTATACTTATTTTCGAAATATGTTGCGCGTACGATTGGAAATACTAGATATATTATTAAAAAGCAGAAACATTAATGACATTCATTAATAAAATATAAAAATATTTGTGTTATTTCATTCGTAATGAATCAGTATAATATTTTCATATATTCTTTATATTTATAATATCTTTATAGATATATATTTCTAAAACTATATTATTACATATGAAATCATTAGGAAACTTTAATTCCAATTCTCGGATCGAGGAAACATAGATAAGAATTTCGTTCTAATTCGCTCTATTTTTCCTTCTACTCTCCCAATTTCTATTTTCAATATATTAGATAAAATATCATAAACTTCAAAAACAATCGTGATCAAATTCAGTACCATTTAGTACCATCAATATCATTTGTTTCAATCCTGACTTTGCCATTTCGAGAATTCCAATCTATAACATACGAATTTGCTGAAACCGTGATATTTGCCATTCGAGTAATTCTATTTCCTTCAATTTCCATGGCCGACAGTTCCGTCAATTCCCGGCAATTTCGTTGTTATTCAAATATAACCGTCCGTCGATATCGTTTATCTGATTTTTCGGCGGCGGAAAACGGATATACGATCGACGCGCGAAAGCGAGCGAGAGAGAGAGAGAGAGAGAGAGAGA